ACTAAATGATTGAAGTAAAAAGGGGTCTTTAGCACAGGATTAACTTTACGAAGGCTATAAAATAACTGAGTATGGTCCCATATTAACTGTTAAAAGAAAAGAAAGACGAAATGGTATGGCATTAAACATCGATCTGCAGTGGGTTTCAAGTAGCAATTCAGATGGGGGCTCTCCGGCGCTCAACAGTGAGTGGTGCAGACCTGCTGCAGCAATGTAAATGATTTCAGAAGGATTGGCCACGAGACATCAAATATTAGGACAGTAACTGCTCCAAACTCACGCCATCATCCAGAGATTTTATTAGCCTAATGAATTTATGGAAGCTCCTGAAGATGATGCTTTATTGCTTCCTTGATAAAATAATTAGAAAGAAAAACATTTAAAGGAGAACATTAAGCTATGACTAGTGTTTTTTGCATAGCTCAAGGAACAGGGAAATGAGACAAATCCTGCTGTCATCTATGGCAACTAAAAAACCTGAATTTGTAAGCCAAGCTGGGACCTTGCTGCCATTTAAAGTCAGAGGGACCTGCATTACCCCTCCTCAACTTAGTGACATGTTCCCACTCCTGCCTGGTTGACCAGCTGGATTATTAGCTCACCAATCCAGCTAAAAACCAGCTTTTGGCAAGCTTAGTTTCATTAGGGCTAGACGAGCTCAGTGGCATTTGGAAAGGAGGACAGCAGCAAGTGGATACACCCAGCAAGAGCTTCCACCCAAATAAAAAACTTCTACACTGTCGTGCTTTGCAGAATTGCACATGCAGGCAGCAGTATGTAAAAAGAAAAAAACCCCAAAATTTGGAAAAAGAGAAAAATCCAAAACAAGTTACGGCTTCCCCCCGTGGTGCTTTGCAGAATTGCACATACAGGCAGCAGTATGTAAAAAGAAAAAAAAAAAAACAAAATTTGGAAAAAAAGAAAAATCCAAAACAAGTTACGGCTTCCCCCTCATCGCATTTCTCAGGCTGTTGTTTCGTGTTTCCGTCACATTAAAAATAACTTTACAGAAACCTTGCAAACTGGAAACAAAACCTGTTGTTCAGTCCAAACAATTTTGGAGGCTGTTTTTGATTCTCACAACAGTCACTGAAAGGTTTTCATTTGTGCTCGAATCAAAATAATTTGCTTTAGCTCTAACAAGAGGTTCAGAGCTGAACTCCGATGTAGCAGTGAGACTTCAATCTGTGCTTGTTTTCAGATTCTCCGGGATGTGCAGGAAAGCAGTGGGAGTCTGGTCACACTTCTGGCACTAATATTGACTTTATACAGGGCCTTGGAAAAAAAAAATAAATCGCTTTTTAAAATGAGGCTTACATGGCATTTCAATTCTTCCAAGCCTTTGAACATGTGGTTGAGTCCTGCTCCAGCCAAAGCTCAAGTTCAACAGAGGAACATTTCCCAGCTCCCAAAAAGAGGACCATGCAGGAGGTATTCCTCCAGCTACACCAGCAGCCTCTTCGTATCAGAGAAGTACCTACTCCTCTGCCTTTAAAAGGCTGAGAAGACTAGGGTGCAGGTGTGAATAAATGACTCAAGGCCTTTAAAGGTATTACCACATGATGTGCTCAAAAAATCCTGATTACCACAGATGCTCACACGATGGGCTTTAAGCAAGTGCCATTATTTTTGGACCAGGATCGTAGGTACCAATGACACTGGATCAAATATGCATCTATTTCACGTATTATTTATTAATAGTCTGCAACACTATTACTCAAAGGACTCTAAACTAGAAACTTTCCAACTGCAAGCAAAATTTCCTTAGTATAATACAGAATAATTTTTGGCATAACGTGGTTTTGTTGCTACTTATAGGTTAGTATAATGGTTAATACAGTAAGAAATACAATAAATAGACCATTCTTATTGAGTTAATGTTTGCATCGTGATGCAATTTGCACTGTATTAGTTCAATCACTGGCTCCACAGCTACATCTGCACATGTGTAATGATTCCTTTAAAATCTATTACGGCTTCAAAGGTAGCATGCCTTGAAAAGATGGCTTGGCATCTTCTTCTCAAAGATGATGAATTTTAAATGAACTGGAGCAACAGCAATCAAAGTATTGATGAATTTAAATTTCCAAGGAAAACATACAGAAAATAGGCTCTTTCCCACAAGAACGAACAGAATATTTCCACCACAAAATTTTTGTACGTTCCACCACGTACAAAAAAAAAATAATAAATAACAGTTGCACAAACTGAAATAGGACATATTTTCTGAGGGAGAAAATTATCTTCAACACCTCTGCAAAAATTTGGTACTTTGGAGAAAAGGAATTGCCCCACAGCTGTGCCTGAACACAGGGGAAAGAGCAACTGAGCCTCTGCATGCTTCGGGAGTTCACCCTCCCGTAGAATCTGCTCCAGAATCCAGACCTGGCTGATGAGATTCATTAAAAAAAAAAATTATTTTCAAACCCCACAAATTTGCAACAGGCCAAACAAAACTCCTGCGCCTGCAGTGCGCATTTTTCCCATTTCTGATCACAAGTCAAATTCCTTTCCTTGAGGCTGTGGCATTGGCAGCCAACAGAAACCATCTTTCAACTTGACAGGAACTTACACCAAAAGATGCTTACGCTGGTTAAATTCTTCCCCTTGCAGAGAGGCACCATTTCAGGATTTTTTCCCCAAATGCAGGTATTTAAGAGAGCTCAGCAACCTCTGCAGACAGCCATTAAGAGGTGTGGAGGAGCAGGTCTCACTCCCTCTGTCCCTCTTGAGAGGAGAGAGCCCTTGTCCTTTCTTGCTCTCATAAACACAGGATTTTTCTAGGCAGGGAATGCTATGAATTTCTGGAACCTCAGGACCTCCTGACTTCACCTCCCACACCACCACGTGAGTCGAAGAAGCAAGGACAGATGTGTTAGCCTGTCTAGTGCAGGGTCATGATGTGCTTGATGTTTCCAAAGCCAAGGGTTGAGGCCAGGGCAAGGAAGAGCTCTCTGCAAAGGTATCAATCCTCTGACTCGTTTCTGGTAACTCTTCTAGAGACATGGGCTGACAGTAATTAAAAGGACTTACACACTGGGCTGGTTTCAAACTCAAATCTTCGGCTGAAGCCACCGTAGCCAGCAGCTGTCCGGGCTCGGATCTGGAAGACGTACACCGAGCCTGGTTTCAAGCCATCTGCCGTAATCGTCGTCTCTTTGGATTTGATGATGGTGTAGCTCGTCTCCTGGTCCTTTTCCCCATCCCCCCCCCGCAAAAAAACACAAAGTTCAAACACACAAATAGTGGCTCTCAGAGAAGACAGACATCTTAACAACCCCCACAGCAATGTTACAAAGGATAACTGAAAAATGCATTTTTGAGAATCTCTTCCTCAACACGCCCCCCCTCCCCAACCCCGAAGGCCTATTCTGCAGTACAAAATGTGAGATCTGATTTTCCACCCATAAATGACAATATGGGGACCACACCAGCATCTGCAGAAGGAGTAGCTTTCTATTGCTCAGCATGTATATGGCCTGGGGCGAAGGAAAGGTTCATCCTACAAAGATCAATCCCAAGGCACGAGGAAGAGGAAAAAAGTCCCATCGCCTTAGAAAGGGATTTTAATTTATACCAAAATGACTTCCCAGTAATGTAATCAGGCCTAAAAGAGAATAAGATATTATACATTGTACAACTTCACGCTGGTATTTCCAGAACCACGCATTAGACCTTGGGAAGGGAATAATAAACCAAAACTCCAGGAAAATATCTAATTTTGCATTGTTCTTCTGAAGCAATGAACTTGAAGAAAATCTGCTGAAATAAATCTTCATTTACATCAGTTTCTAATGCGAAAGAGTTCCAGTTCTTTGATTAAAATTTCACTCAAATGCTTGGTAATTACTCTTAGAATTATTTACTGTAACACATAATCTAGACAAGAGCTCATAAATTAAGGTCTACACACTTAGAAACCGCTTTTTATTCACCATATCCTCTCAGATCCAAATTACTATGAAGTAGACAGGAGGTCTTAGTAACTCCCTACCAAGATTTCTGCATAGCTCTTAGGATCTGAACTGATTTTCCTTTTTCTTTTTAATTTAATGAGCAACTTTCCATAGGCAGTAATATGCCTGGATAAGGCCCTGGGAATCTCCAAATGAAGGATTACAGATTTTCTCATTGAAGCCTGTAGCTACACAAGACTGTTTTGGAGAAATGTGTATGTGTAAATAGATATAGATATACATATATACATGCCTTTTTTTTTTTTCTCTTGTTAAGGAGTGTCGCCTCTTAAAGGAATGTAATTTGACAAACCTCAATTTTCCAAAACATTTCATATAGATCATTCTCATCCCTGGGAAATGAATGCTGCAAATTTATCCTTATACAGGGCTGAAAACCGAGAGACTACAAATGACAGCAGTACCAAACAAGAAGGATTAAGGACGACAACCCAAATCTAACTCAATGACTGGTTAAAAACCAGTGAGTGACTATTAGGTCACATCTTTGCTTGTATGTCAGCCCAATTAGGTTTTCAATACACTGTTGGCTTCTGCAAACATTTAAACACTCGAGCTTTCCTATGGAAAACACTAAGCTTCGCTATCGGCCTGAAAGAAATAAATCAAGACAGCATCAACTCCGTCTGGCTGTAGCTACCTCCCCGTGAAGGACTTGCACTTGGAGAACGATTTACTGAAGCGATTTGAGACTAGTTCTGGACCACAAATACAATGTTTTAATGGAAAACGAACTAAGTAAAATGAACAAATATATGGATTTTCTTGCTCTAATTATTTGTTCATTATCAAGGTTTCTAGAGGCTAATCATCCCAGGCCACTCCATGGTAAGAATTCAATGTGCCACAACGGTTGTTGAAACCAATTAATAAAAGAATCGGTAATGGATTATTTCCAACAATAGCATATCCTGATTCTTGCTTTGTGCTTTAATCTTTTTGATAATCTCAGCCCTACTTAAGCCACTCACGCACCTTGTGCCCTTGCCCAAGCTCCCTCATCTGCAAAAATAATGTTTTATACTGATGCAGAAGATTTCTGAAATTCTTTCCCCTGTTTGCATGGGCTACTTAAGCTGGTCCCTCCCATGGTCAGAGAAAGAAGAGAAGTAAGTAACAAGACCTGGTCCACGTTGAGTGGTTTCACCTGGGTTACAGACAGGTAATTGTCTTGAAATCTTCCTTAAAATAGAAATTTGACCCCCCCAAAAAAGTGAATTGTGACTCAATTTCAATATTTTCCTCATGTTTTCATGTAGAAAGCCTGGCTGTTTCAGAAGAAAAAATAACACCTTACAATTCCAGCTAAGGCAAGAAACTGCTATTCACTCAACTCTTGCAAACTCGATTTTTGGAAATCTAAGATCTCCAAAGATCTAAGGCTGCATCGCTCAAAAGATGCTATTTAGACAAAGTGCATTTGTTTCCGTTTTCGTTTAAACTGCATTAATTTTGCAGGAAGAGAATAAGTCGCCATTTGAAATGAAGACTAGGAGAGGCAAGTTTTGTGGGAAGAGAGAGCGTCTTCCAACAGACTGAGAACAAGAGCTGGAAAAGCCAGGCAAGCTTTTAAGCCAGGATGTCCTTCATCACGTCAGAGCAGATACAATCTCTCTGCAAAACCCTTTCCCTCTCCTTACATCGTGGATGCAAAATCAAGTGAGGAATTGAAATACCAAAGGATAGTCTGATGTTTCCGGGAAGAGATAGACGCTCGATCCCCAACCCCTCCTATTTTTAACAAATGAGCAGGCTCTATCTTAATGTGATAAGGCTGGAGAGGAATCTGACACGCAGATTTAATGTATTTGTTCAAGAGAAGTGGCACACTAATGGAAAACAACACCCTCATTTCAAGTCTTCCTAATCATTTACTGCAAAATCAATCTGACATTGATCTATGCATAAAATCGCTCCATCCCCTTCCATGACTCAAACAATCACAACTAAAAGAAGAGCACAGTAAAGAGAAGGTACTTGGGATGCTCAGCAATCAGTCCGTCACACCTTTTCAAAATATTTGATTTCGTATTCCAGGATGATGCCGTTGGGTCGATCTGGCTCCTGCCAGGAAAGGGAGATGCTATTTTTAGTTACCTTCCCTTTTTTCACACTACTGACTGGAGAAGGTGCTGCAAGACAGGAGAAAAACAGAACAGACAAAAACCATGGTTAGTAAGATGGTCTGCCCCTGCCAAAGTCAAGCTCGTCAGCGCATCCTCAAACGCCAGGTGATCCTGAGCTACTGCAGATCCGCGGGGTCCGTTTTCACCGCGGTGGTATTTGCCCGTTTTTAACAACTGGACTCACATAGATTGTCAGTAGCTGAGGATCTGACCAGCATCACCCACCCGAGCAAAGCAACAACAGGAAGTACTGTCAGCAGCTTAAACATCGACCTTGTCTTTTCAAGCACTTTTCAAACACGTCAACCCCACACCTTGCCTTTTCACGCGTGTCAGAGGGCTACATTATCAGAATTACATAATGATTACATATTTCTTTCTTTCAGCTGCTTTGAAGAGATGTATTATTCAGAAGATCTTGTGAATCGAAGAAGAATCTTCGATTACATGGCCTCCTTGACTTTATTTTGTGTCTTGTGCAGCAGTTAAAGCCTCGGCACCTTTCAGCCCCCTCCTTCCAGAAGCAGGAACGGGGAGCAAGGCCACTGCAACCTTTACAATCCCATTGCTCTCAATAAATATCGCTGGGTGTTACAGCTCACATAGTGATGCTAATTCCTTGCAAATGGCAACTGGAAAGATTTTAATGGCAATCACGGTTCGGAAGTTTGTGGTGTGCTTGGGGAAGTCACAGCATGAAAGCAGATATACCAGCTCTGCTTATTATATTAAGATGCAGCCCTGAAAGGTTATCTGCCCTTTGCAGCACACATGTGCATCAGAAACAGGCTGGATCCTTTGTTTTCAGTCCAGTATCTGCAGAGGCTTTTCAAGTTGTGGTTGTTACCATCCCTGCCAGCTCCCTAGCAAGAGTTGCTATGGGCAAACGCAATCCTAACACCCCAGGTATTTTGTGCCAGAGATTAGGAGACAACACTGAGTGAAAAGAAAAGGGAACAGGAGGAATCCATAGTCTCTAATTTACAGGTGCAAGAGCATCTTCCCCAGAGGAAAAACCAGTCCATGCCTGGCCAAGGGCTATCGACTTACCCTCCAGACAGGTCAGGTCTCCACAAGGATCACAGAGGGGCTGGAGAGATCCAGGGCAAAGACCTTTGTGGCCCTACAGGGAGCTGAGTGTGGAGAGTAGTAGCAAATGACCACATTTTATCTCCCAAAAATGACATTCGGAAGATATATTTCTTCTTTTTCTATATGCAGGACTAGCTAATTATGTGACACTAAAAAAACCCAACCCATTAAGTAAAAAAAAATTTTGCCAGGTCTGATCTTTAGTTGAAAAGAATAAGGGAAGAGCTCCAGACAATTATCCCTGGACTGAAGGCTAGCAGGGAGCCTTCTCTTTTAAAGCAAGCTCCCACTTTTCAGCATCTTTTCAGCCCCAGTTTTTCTCACTCCTGTTTACTAATCTCTCCCCCACTTGGCTCTTGGAGGATCCTGAAAGGTGTTGGCCATTCCCATATTGTTTTCTGCTGGGGAGCTGGCATCAAGCTGCAGACAACGCTCGCTTTTTAGCTGTGCATCCACCACCGTGCTCACAACTGCTCCACTGAGCAAGTAAAAACCACCTTGATTTGAATGATGATCATGTTATTTATGTAGGCACCGCACGGTGAACACCAACAATTTTTCATCTGCAAAAGTCACCTTACCCTCGGCTGATGTCCTCCACAATTTTTTAGGCTATGTGAAGGAGAAGAACAACCTAGACCCAAACTGCTAATCTGGTAGAAGACTTTCCCTTAATTAATCCAGGTGCCTAAATACGTGCTGTGCATGTATGTGCACGGCAAGTTGAGCTGTGCGTGTGAGATATATGGTCTGCGCATGCCTGTATGGCCACAGAAGACAGAGCGAGTAATGAACTCTGTCAAAATAGGATGAACTTCCCTTTTCATACAAAGGGAGCTACGTGGTTTTCAGAGATCTCAGAAAACAAGTCTCGCTGTGGGGTGGTGGCACCAAACAACAGGCGATTCTACAACCCTAGACCATACTGATCACTTCTTATCACGAGCCACTCAGATGCTACATATAGAGGATGGAGACACCAAGGTACTCAGAAAAAGGGACTGATCCCCTTCTGGGACTGTTCTCCAACACCTTTAAATCCCTGCAACACCTATTCCAGGCTTGCAGAGCTGGCAGCAGAGGTCTGGCAGGAGGAAGAAAGTCAGAGCTGAGCATTAAACCTTTTTAAACTCCTATTAGCAAAAGCAAGCTTGAGAAGTGCAGCGAGGGGAGACCTCAGCCCTCCCCGGTATCGAACGCCTCTCAGGAAGGCGAAAACCATGCAATTCCCGGTGTCAAGATCGCCTGACCAAATAATGGGATTTTCATCCACTTTACTGAGGTTTCCTGAAGTGTGTATAGGACAAAGGCTCACAAGTGCTTTATAAACAAGAGAATGATGCAAGTGCTCCTGAACTCTGTTGCAAAATCTTTCCTTGGGAGGTTCAGGGAAGTTTCTTCTTCACATGCATCAGCACAGGACAACACAAAATGCACCACCAGCTACGCAGAAGTGCCTGTCAAACTCCCTACTCGCCTAAAATAGAGCATCCTTTTTAAAAGTAGTGTGTAAAAATCTTAGCTATTTAACAGCTTCATGGACGTAAATGTCTTGCCATGCAAGTCTCTAACCGGTTCAGTCGTGGCTCTGCAGAATGCTCTGCTCTACTGGGAAAAGGAGGGAAGATAAGAAAATGAGTAACCCAACTCTCAAAGTAAATTAGAAAAGGAGTATCTGTATCGTTTTTGAATCTCCTTCAAAAGAAGCACTAAAGTGTAACCATGAGATAAAGGCCAATTAAGTAAATTCAATAAATCCCAGCGGTGCTGGGATGATACGGCAACTACTCTGCCTCCTCAACACACGGAGATTACGTCGCTCTGAACCGAAGGAAGGAAGGTATCAGTATTTTAGAGTTGTCTTTGTCAAACAAAATGTAATCCAATCCAGGCAAGCGGACAAAGTCTGCAATCATTCCATCTTAAAAGCCTGCAACTGGATACTGCGCTACATGATCTCAGGAAAACAAAAGGATTACTTGAGACTTGCTTTTCAAAGGTCACTGCTTCTGCAAGGGCAGCATCCTCTTAACAGAAAGAAGCCAAGCCACGGAGTACTTCCATTTGGTGTACAACATGTAAAAAAATGAATTCACAGAAGAGTCAAGACATGTAAAAGCTGTAATCTGCCATGCTGCTTATGTGAGCAGGCAAAAGTCGTGTTCAAATCCCTGCCTTGACACCACCAAGGGTGGATGTACATCGTGAATTGTTCACATGTTGCTTTACAAGTAATCAGCACACGTGCATTAATTTCTCAGCAAGACACTCAAAATCGAAGAGGGATATTACATCATTTATGTTTATGTTTGCCATTCATGAAAACAGCCATGCGTGTGATGAAAGCAAACAGAAGATGTAACAAGGTGTGAAATTGCTAATGTACATTTTTGCTTTCCTGCGACCAAAATTAATGAGGAAGCAAATAAAAGCACAGAAAAATAATTCTACCTCTTTTTTGTTGTTGTTCTATTTCTAACATTTCTTAAGAAGAATAAGGGGACATATCACATAAATAAATTAAAGTTTCTGCAGAAGATGCATCATTAGTCACATCTGAATAAATACAGGACATGATTTCATAAGGAATAGACCTTTTAGGACATTCTTCCTCTGCAACCTTTGATAATGACATTAGCCCTGAATTAGCCATCTAGGCACCCAACCCAGTATTTACAACATACTGTGCTGTGTCCCACTAGCGTCTAACATACAATGATGCTTAGTGGAATAAAATGTTAATTATATTTTAAGAGAAACTAATGTTATCAGGTGAAAGACCACTGCACCAAGATAAAACAAATAATCCAGTTTCTACATCTTATGGTCTATCTAATGTTCTCTCCAGCCCAATTACTTTTGTGTTGGTATTTCACACTCTGGCAGAAATAACAGCTAATGGGTCCCCATCTCACCCTTAGCCTGTCAGCCAGTGAAGTTTTCCACTTCTTATTAAAAAAAAATAAAAAATACTAGTTCCCTTCACCCTCGGTGCACAAACTAAGCCACCAGTCCAGGACGTTCCATCCAGCTTTAACTTCTGGATTGAAGAAGTTATGGCTGCCCCATCCCTGGAAGAGTTCAAGGCCAGGTTGGATGAGGCTTTGGGCAACCTGGTGTAGTGGAGAGTGTCCCTGCCCATGGCAGGGGGGTTGGAACTAGATGATCTTTGAGGTCCCTTCCAACCTGAACCATTCTATGACTCTATGCTTCTGCCAGGACTGGTCCTCACTTAGACCAACCCAGAGAAGCCGAGGAAGAGATGTTGATTTACACAGGCAAAGGGGCTGGTGCCTCTCCTTCCTTTGGTTCTCCAGGTATCTGGGCTTCAGTTCCCTTTTCAAAGACAATTAAGGCATCAAAGAGGAAGATACTGCTGCTACCATCTCTGTCCTGGCTGCTGTTACAGACATCTATGACATAAGATAACTGTAGATATAAACATCACCTTTTATAGACATCTACGCTACGGATTTTCATGTGTTTTCCATGCGTTTGCAACTTCTTTTATCATGATTACATTCCTATATGTGCCGGTGTTTGAGATCTAACACTTCAGACTGCGTGATACACCTTAGGGTTCCTCCCTCCATGTGATACCACGTTTCTTTCGCAGTCTGAATTCATGCCACAAGATTCAAAAGTCAAATTCATGCTTGTGATTAAATCAATACTTTTACCTGTCATCATATAACCAAATAGTTATGCTATCATTAATGCACCTATAAAGCCAGGTTTAATTGAAGAAAATGAAACCTGTATCAGAGACAAGTAATTCTGGTTCCGCTTCGAAAGCCTGGTACACTGCAATTTTTCACTCAGTTTCTAATTAGTGCTATTATTGATTTTTTTTTTTTTTTTTCCCCTCAGGCCTTTGGTGACTTCAGGGCCCCCATTTTTGTAACATGAGTCCA